AAGCGATAAGATCTATCCATATGACTGATTTCATGCAATCGTACCACTAATCTCACTAATCTCACTATTGCAATACGCGGCTGCTCCATGTACAACGCGATTTTGAGAGAGGAGTATCTCCCGAACATACAATCCAAGAAACCTTTCTATTCCAATCATCTCAACTTCTACACCAACACCTTACTTATCTATTTATCTATCTAACTACCAAACAAAAACCAGCCAGCTAATTGCGAGTTGAGTCGCATGCCGGCGGGGGCGAGTCCGTGCTCTGAGAGGATGCATGGAGAGAGGAAAGAAGGGAACGAGCGTGATTGGGTAGAGCGTAAGGACAGGAAGGAAAAGTGTAAGTAAGATAGGGGGTCGTAAACGTTAGAACGTAAGTGTAGGCTTTCGTCCATGTGCATTCATGAAGCATATAAGCAAAGCAATGCGACTGCTACTGCACTGAGCGACGGCCAAGGAAAGTAGAGGTGATGGTACATCTTTTAGATTCTGCGAGTTGAAGTGCAGATAACTGGTTATGGGTTATAATACTGATTGATACTGGTACTGTTGAGGTTGCGGTTTCTTTTGGTTGGTGTAAGGATACAAAAAACATAATCAAGCGACAGACAGAGGGAAAGACGGAAAGACAAGATGAAGAGTAGATACCGACCAGCCATGAACATGATGAGCTACACGCAAGGCGGTTCAAACGATGTCCCATAATTCTTCTAGGGCGCAGCAGAACTAGAATGAGAGGGAGGGAGTTAGTATATGCACTACCGACGACGATGCAGAAAGTAAAAGAAACCACGACTTGAACAACACCACCCCACCCTACCCCCTTCGTCCCCTTCCCCCTACACCCCCTCCCCCCATAAAACACAACTCCAAAACACACGCAAAAAAAAACCCAAAAAAACCCACAAACAAAACCAAAAAGAAACGAAACACACCTTCCCACAAGCAACACTAGCACTCAACGCATACCCACTAATCCCAATCTTCTCATCCACCCACGCATCCGCGAAGTCGTCCCGGCCGCGCGCCATCGCGCCGACGAAGACCGCGACGTTGTGCGTGGTGGGGAGCGTGGGGAGGTATTGCGAGAGGCGCTGGATGGGGGCGTCGCCTGAGAGGGCTGTTGGGGTGGGTTAGTTAAAGGGGAGGAGGAGGAGGAGGAGGAGGAGGAAGGGAGGGAAAGAGGAGAAGGAAGGGAGGGAGGGAAGGGGAAAGGAGAGAGGGGGACGTACTGATTTTGACGGTGTTGGGTGGGAGGTGGTCCGTTACGGGGTTCTGGAGAGGGAGAGGGTGTTGGTTAGGTTGAAAATTGGGTGGGGTGAGAGGGGGAGGGGGAAGGGAAACACACTTTGACGACTTTGAGTAGTTTTTCAGGGCCATTCACACCTCGGATGGACAGTTTGTGCAGGAGTTGGACTGACGAAGGGAGGGTGTAAGTACGTCATCCTCAGAAAAGATAAAAATAGAAGAAAAAAGAAGAGAATAAAGGAAAGAAAAGAAAGGAAAGAAAGACAGAAAAAAAGACTGACCCATGAGTCCGCTGAACCGCTTGAACGTGCGTGGGATGCGTACATGTGGGTTCACCTCGATGAGGACGCCGCGCGCTGTGTGGATGTATACTTGGAGGAGGCCTGCTTTGTTCAGTGGGGAATCCAGGAGGGTCAACAAGCACTATCAAGAAAAAGATCAGCGAAACCCTCCTCCAAAAGGAAAAAAAGCACACCTGATGCGTAATATCCGGCCTCGCATCCGCAATATCCCTCCCCGTCTTCGCCAATATCCCCTGATGATCATCACAATTCAGCAGCGTATACTTCGCCTCCCCGCCCTCCTTCCTCCCCTTCCCCCCGCCCCTCCCCCCCACCCCCACTAATCTTATACGCCTCCAAGCACGCCTGTGCGAGCACCACGTACAATTTTCGTTGGGAAGCGGCGGCGGGCCCGCGCACGACGGTGGCTTGGATGGGGAGCATGGAGGGGTTGGCGGGGTGGTGTAGGGGCGTGTGGGGGTTGGCGGCGGGGTTGAGGGTGTGTGGTTTGCGCGACTTGGACGCGGGGAGGGGGCGGGTGGGACGGTCTGACGTGGTGGGGGGTGCGGGGCTTCCGTTTGTGTTTTTTAGGATGGTGATGGGAGATGCGGAGACCGCATGAGGGGTGGAAATGGTCTCGTTTTCATCATCGTCGTCGACTTGCATAACCTTATCTCCCTTCTCGCCCTCCGAATCCGAGCTGTGCGTAGGGCTCTTCTGCCTCCTCCTCTGCGCCGGCCTTTCCCCAGGCGTCGATTTAGGCCGGGGTGGCGGGACGATGGCGTTGGCGTTGGCGGTGCCGGAGGAGGTGCGGGAGGAGGAGGAGGAGCCGAATTTTGTGGCGGGGCTGTGGATGTGGATGGGGATGGGGACGGGGGTGAGGACTTCGGAGTGGTCCATTGAGTTGGAGTGGCGTCTGCGGCGGGCGGGGACGGTTGGGCGTTCCATTCTTCGCTCTGTAGTGTAGTTGCTCTTTGTTGGGAGGATCTGCAAGTCTTTGGGGTTTATGACTCGAGAAAGAAAACGTTCGACTGATAGAATAAGATCTAAAAAGCTCTAAAAGCTCTATAAGCACGCAGCCACAAATGATCTCTCTTCTTCTTTGTTTCTCGAAAGCAAATCCGGGGATGGAGGTACAGAGCTAAGCAAAACAGCGCAATGCGAAGCAGCGCGAGGCGAAGGAAGGGGTACGACTTTTTTTTATGTCACCATGTCGACTTGCCCAGACCTTGCTGCAAAAAGCTTATGTCGCTTGATCGGGAATGGGGAGCACGTGCCTGGAGATACGGGATACGGGTGTCGTTGCCGGGCCCCTGAGGCTCCCTGAGGAGCCCTGGGGGGGGGGGTGTATTGTTCCTCCCTGTTCCTCCCATGTCGACAACTAGAACAGAATTCTATGGGGATCTTTTGGTGTTCACTGGAATTGAATGAACGCCTATGTTCTGCTGTGTTCATCTGATCTGGCTTCTTTACTTTACTTGGCGCCAATACTCAGTTACAGACACGTTCAATCCCTGCACCTCGAGATCGTCTGAGCGAGTAACCCACGCTTCCAAATGCTTCCAACCCCCAAGCTTACCACGCGTGAGACCAACCACGCACATGTGGTAGGGACCACTACAATGTACACTACCATTCTCTTGACACCAACACCACACCTAGGCCCAATATGCTTATCACCGTCTACTCTCCACCTCTGATCCTGCTCTGATCTTGATCTGCGGTGTTTACCTTTTACACCCCGGCAGTCGCATTTTGGCAGTCGCACTTTGACACTGGCACTTTGGCACTCGCTCTTTGGCACTGGTACTGGGCAGGGCGCACAGATGTACATAAATAAGCTGGGGGTAAGAACAAAGAGGGGATCTTCATCCGCCCTGCCCTGACCCCATGGTCGATCTCGGTTTTCGGTTCGAGGGCATACCATGCCATGTTACGAAGTGTCAACATGAGGCGGGGTACTTTCGTTTGGCTTCCTGCTTACTCTCTAAGTCTCCTTCATTGTGTCGATGCACTTCCAGAAAACAGAAGGTAGAAGAAAGAAGACAGAAAGAAGAAAGAAGAGAGCCAACGCGTAGCGCAGAATGACCTAGGGAGGCGAAATCTAATCTAATCGATCTCATCTGTTCTATACCGCCATCAAGTTCTCGCGGCTCAGAAGCCCAGGGCTGGTTCGTATGCCTCTATCCAGTCTCCAGTCTAAATAGGGCCTTTCGCTACCTGAGACGTCCGACAGAGGCTACGTAGGTAGTTTTACTGGACTACGGACTTGCTCGTCTCTCTCCAGGCGTTTCGTTCGTTCGATTGGAATTGGAATTGCGAAGTCGTTGGTGGCAAGGCGCAACATAGTCGGAGATGGTTCAGGCAAGTACAGGATTATGATTCAGGATTATGATTCAGAATTCAGAATTCACGATTCAGGATTCAGGATTCAGGATTCAGGATTCAGGATTCGGGATCTAGGCTAAGGAGGAAGGAGGAAGAACACAATCGGATAACCTACTAACCTAACTGGCGGAGCGAATCTAATCGATTTGTTTGTATCTGCCTTCTATTCTATCTATTCCATCTATTCTATCTACGCCATCTACGCCATCTACGCCATCTCCTCCTTACTCGGTGTCAAGTTCTCGCGGCCAGATCCTACATCCTCTATCGACCATCTACATTCTCATTCTTCGTTCTTCGTTCTCGATGCGGTCGGAAATCACGCGATCTAGAGGGCTTGCGACTTGCGTAAGGATCTACGCGGCATATTCATAACGATAATCGATACTCGATAATCGACATCCGCAGACGCAGTCTCGGAACGCGTTGAACGCGGGTCACGTTGTTAAGGATTTCCGGGATCGCCTCCTCTTCAGCTTGTCTACATCTCACATCCCACATCTCACATCTCACTTCATTCCTACAATTTCCTACTGCATCGGCTGCTTTGCTGTCTTAACCTTAACGCGCAATATGGTACCGGGCGTGGGAGATGGACACAGCCCGGACGGAGCGGGCTCGTTGACCTCCTAGTACACGATTCGATGACGAGCGTATACCTGGCACGTCCTTACAGTGTTATCTTGATGCATCGTCATACATATTCCGGGGACCCGACGGTAAGCCCAACGTTGCAGGTAGCTACTTTGCTCACATACCCCTCTAAGTCGGAAGAACATCGACTCGTTATCGAAAACAGCGACTCCTCGCGCTGGAGCAAATAAGCATCAACCTACACGCGCAAGCGTCGAGCAGGAGAACGGTCGAGCCAAAAAGCCTTCTAGGAATAGGAATATTCTCTTCACAAGTTAGTTGCTGTCTAGTGAAAAACAGACGTGCCCAATGCTCTGTGAATAATGAAGACGACACTGGGCGTTAATAAGTATGGTCACTCTGAGCCCGCATGCTTTCCCTTAGGCGCTCTATAGTGCAATTCTCTACTCACATCGTGTAGGTAAATTTAGAATTGGGTTCAAGGGCAATATGGCCGAGTGGTCTAAGGCGCTAGAATCAGGACCTTGGTTCATCTAGTCCGAAAGGGCGGGGGTTCGAATCCCCCTGTTGTCATACACACCAATATCAGTTGTTTTGGCCGGCGGTGCTCCAGACTGCGGCTCTGTTTGATTCTTCGTCGTATTGTATCTCACAGCACAATTGACTAGTCTCAACTCAATGCTTGGTAATTGTTCGAACTTTTAGTCTTAGATTCATCAGTAAAGATCAAGTAACTAATCGAAACACATTTGTTTCCTGTTTTTGGGGGAAAATGTGACTCGATCTTCAATCGGAAAGACCGGTCCGTTTGTTCCGCCAAATGTTTTGGTCGAGTCCACATTTTGAGTGAAAGCCTTTTTAGTTAGCTCAAAAGCTTTTCTCAAGATTTGAGAAGTCAAGCTAACCCAATAAGAGCTATAGTGCTCACAACAGCTGACTTCGACCAGCTTACCCAAAACAAGAGCACACTTCGATACTCATGAATCCATTACTAGTTACTAGTAACATGATCTCTAAATGAAGACATAGTTTTGACAACTAACGCCGCACGCGCCAAATCGAAAGAATTTGTAATGAAAAGAGGTAAAATTTCCTCAATGCGTCGCCAATACTCCAAAAAGGCTTTAGACTTCCAACGGCATTGTACTGACACAATATCCGGGGGCGTCCCCCTCAACAATAATTCAGTGGCCCCTCCTATCCAAAAGGCATGACCAGACATTTTTGGAAGGCCGCCCTTGATCCAAACATCTTTGCATCTTTGAAGAAACCAAGATTTGTTAATGGAAGAAAACAACCTTCTCTTGTTGCGTAGGAAAAAAGAGGCACTGATGGATCTAAGGCCCAATTTGTCGTCAAGTGATGTTGAAATGCCAAATAAGGATTGGAAGGATCAGTTATGTCGGTAATAACAATGTTGGCCCCATTTGTCTAGTCGTCTTTGACCAAGGAATATGAAATGATATCAATCAAGATCCACCTGGATTCACATGAAAGGAAATGTTGCGTCTTGCGTAACATGCTTGGACACAATAAACGTGTTTTGAGAAGTGACAAGGAGTTCACCTAATCTGCAACACTTCCAAAAAGCAACACAGGCTGCCGCCCATACCACTGCATCTAGAGATGATGACAAATCTAGACCTTTTCTCAAAGCATGCATGTGAGCGATTGTTACCGGCGGGTGCTTCACATGCCGAGAGGAATCTGGTTTGAGTTTCCCAACAGAAACTTTAACCATACGTAACATACTGCCTCCGTGCCAAGTTTGTCCGTTTACGGTATGCCAGAAATGTAAACCTGCCAACCAGTTCTTGAGTGTAGATTTTGCGACACTGCCCTTGCGGCCATAACCATTGCGAAACCTGCTAAAAGAATTTTGGATGCTGGCATCCTATTGAACTCAGAAATGTTGCAAGAATCACAATATTGAGTGAATCTTAATAGACCGGCGCCATAAACGGACCATGTTGATTCATCTAAGGAAAACAACATAACTTCTAATAAAGCCCATGCATCCAATGACGGCAACACCTCAACAAGTAGACGGTGAAAGGAGCTAGTTGAGGGAGAAGACCACACCCGTAACCTCTTGGAGGCTAAGACATGAGGCCAAAATGGGGAAATTACATATGAGTTCTTGATATTTGGCTTGCAAGCCTTTTTCATTTGTCTTGTCAAAGGGTGCAGCTGACCTGTTGATACCTAGGGAGCAAACCGGGCAAAGAACTGGTTTGCTTCAAGAGACACATCAACACCTGTTAACGCTTGTTGTAAACCTTCTTCAGACATGCAACACAAAAGGTTGCAGCTCCCTGGGGATAGTGAAGTTGGTCTGAATTCGATCTTCTGATCGTCCTGACTCGCCGCGAGAGATAGGATTCGCCAGATTGATAGCCAATTCAACATAGATAAATGAGAGCAATATCCCATATTTGTGGGCAATAAGTTTGGCTTGACAAATTGAAAGGTTGACTTCAAAGTTTTGGCCACGACCCTTCCGCCAAGCTCCAATAACGCCAATGTTATTGCTCCGAATGAGGATATGTGAGCAAGAAATTCCTTCCGCAATGATGGTGTAAACGGAAAATTTGATTGCTACACTCTCTAACCACCCAATATCCCTTGAAGGGCCTTTCCATCCAGGGATTAATTCCCAAGCGTCCCATGAGATACCCCCTCCCCATATCAATCCTATTCCCCATAAAGTCAAAGCATCCACCCAAATGCCGGAATCCACAACGGGACCTCTTGCTCGCAACGATTGACGCCAAGAGGTAATCTCTAAAGTACGAGACCACCATTTCAGATCCGATGTCATCAATTGCAATGGCAATCTTGTTCAAAGGAAAGTCCATAGAGAACTTGTAGATATTTGGAAGAAAAGACCGACCCTGAGGATACACAAACGTAATGTGAGAGAGTGATCCTGCCAGTGTTAGGACATCATCTAAAGGGGCGCCTTCTTTCCTATCTGGATCACAGTAATGACATAGGAATTTGTCAACCCTAGCCTTGAACTTTAAACGCTTCTCATCAGTTAATGAAACTTTGGATAGAGCAATGTTCCAATGGAAACCAACATATATAAATTTGGAGTGAAAATCTTGTCCCTTTGTGGGATGCCAGGGAACCCCCAATGACTCAATGCGGGACTTCACGTCACGCAAATCATAATGGCACCCCGGAGCAGACCCCAACTGTGACTGAGTAATGTCTTCTTGTGGAGAACGAAAGATTACAAAATCATCCACCCATTTCTTTATGGGTCCAATGCCTTGGATCTCAAGTGCATCTACCGTAAAATTGGCAATTTCTCCATGATTTCCTCCCAATGAGGTACAACCAAACAGATGTACATGATCCAACCAGAAATGGTTGTCAAAACTCACAATAATGTATTTCTTGTGAGCGGGCCATACCGGAACTGTTCTGAATGCGGTGTGAACATCTAGTGTGGCCGCTTGGGTACCCACAGCCGCAGATGCAATCTACGGGACGAGGACCCGTCAGCATCAAAAATATATATGCTCGGTATGGAGTAAAAGATGTGTGACATGGGACTTGTTAAATGAAAGGAGAGGGGGGAGAGGGGGGGACGGGGGAATATAGAAGACGGGAGACGGGTGACGGGTTAAACAATAGAACTGTCACTCACTATATTTTCAATATCAGCAGCGGTACCCCATTTTGTAGGCGTGTCATCTGCATTGATCATATCATTGACAGAAATGCCATCACAATCTTTGAACAAGAGATTCATGGTCATCCAATTTTTGATTACCACACCGTTGCCATCAACGGTCGGAATAATCTTGATGGGAGAAGACCAAAACAGACCACCAACAATGAGTTCAATTTGAGTACATGAGAAAGGGCCTGTCATCCTCTCTTTATCACATTCAGTGGAGATATAATCTCTAATGATCTCAGCATGTGCGAGTGTTGATGGGTGATTTTGTGGAGTGAAGGACTGTGATAACGGTAAGAGGTCGCCTAAACGGAACCCATGGATTAACTTGTTGACAATGAATGGGTAGTGTAATCCCAGACTTGGAAATTGATCTATAAATGATTGGAAGGCTGTTGGTTTGTATGGTGATATGATTTTATCAATGAGGTCAGAGGGAATGCCACGGGAAGACAAGTGCAATGAAGGCAATAGAAGGATCCGCAGAACAAGCACTTATGCATTTCCAGGTGTTAAGACTGGCATCGGGCATTCCCTCCCAAGCTCCAGGAGATGCAGATTGGCGCGGACAAGGAGGCACTGACCAATTTCTTGACGAGGCACCAGCAGACCACTGCTTTTCCACTTTCACTGGATTTTTGTGTACATTCTGTAAACTTGTGTCCGAGACGAGCGCAGATAAGGCAAATGGGGAGTCCGGACCTCTCCCCACTGCCTCTCTGAAAGGGCTGAGACCTGAAAGTGTTGCTGCCCAAAGAGGGATAAGGGTTAGTTCGAGTTCGCTCCCGGACCGTCTGTGTGCCCCCGACCCGACCCGCCACTTCCAATCGACATTCTCTTCTTTCATCACCAAATTTTTAATTTTGGAGAAACATCGATAATAGATGTCTTCATTGAATGACGTTGGCTGAGCGGCGTATTGGCAACACTGTTCAATATCAAACCTGCAAATTGCTGAGAAGTTCTGTCGGAGATCCTCTTGGCTAGATAAAAATTGGTAATGACTTTTCCATCTCAGGAAAACACCCGGAGATGCAACCAATTCCAAGAAAGAGAGGTATCCAGACCATGCTTCCAACCAGTCTGTCGGGTCCATAGAATATTTGTCTGGGAAATTGTTGACCTTAATGAGATAGGTCTTGGTATTTCCTATAATGTGTTGCTCCTTTGGGATAGACTTTAAAAATATATCGCGCATGGATCTTGCTAAGAACAACAAAATAGGAATGTGAAGCCCAGCGGCCGCCAACTTCCGAATTTTGGGATGAATCCCAAACTTGTGAGCGCCGACCATCGTTACCGGGAGGAGTTCCCTTTCTTCTACAACAATAAGGTCGCTTGCCACTGGTTTTGGTTTGACAGCTGACGGTTCAGGAACCGCCCTGGGGCCGATGACATCAAGGAATTTATTCCTTTGATTGTTGGTCATCAGGGACCACGCCGCTAGGAACGCAGTATGATGGTCCTTGGGAACGACTTGAACTGCTGACTGTTCTCCACCCAAAGCTCCAGTTTCCTCTTCATCGTCTGAGATATCTGTAACACCTGCATCCCGCAACGCCCGACGCTCAGTGTTCCGTGTTCTAACTTTGTATGCCTCTGCTTCAGCATCAATTGGTGGTTCTGGAGGAACAATAGACAGATTTGTTGATGAATTTGATGTTTGACCCAAAGTGCATCAGGAAAAAGGGGTCTAGTCCTAGAGCCACCCAGGTTGCCCTGGGTGTCTCTAGAGACCCCAAAGACTCCAAAGATAAAAAGCCTCCTGGGCCCGCCCCAGAACTAAGTCCCCAATGTTTGTTTTGCCTAGAGCACTCCCAGAGCACTCTCAAAGCATCCCAGAGCAGCCCCAGAGCAGCCCCAGATCATTTATGAAGCCGTC